TAACACATCTCAGTTACCTTTTCCACACCCCCCCATCTCTCAGTCCGCTTCCCATTTGAGAAAGATCTATCTCCTTACTTTCTATTGTCTTTTATTTTGCTCTTTATTTATAATTTGGGTTTCTTGTACAAGAGAAGCCATGCAATATTTAAACTTGTGTGCCTGATTTATTTCACTTAACATTATTGTTTCAAGGTGCATCAATTTTCCTACAAATGACTCAGATTTATCTTTCTTAACAATAGAGTAGTTCTTCAGTGTATCAATACCACATTTTCTTTAGCCATTTGTCTTATCTACTTTTCTTGTTGCTGAGACAAAATATAGGACACTCCAACTTAAAGGAGAAAAGATTTATTTAGCTCAAAGTTGGTAGGGGCTGCAGTTCATAGTTGGCTGGCTCCAAGGCAGGGTGGCACGGCAGAGGGGATCACAGAGGAAAAACAGTTCATGGTGGGTGCAAGGCACCAAAGCAGTGAAGTAAGGAACAAACAGCAAGCAACAAGCAACCACAGCAGCTTTCTTTTTGTCCATTATATTCTAGCCAGGCTACATGCCCTTAGGGTGGATAGCACTCACACTCAGGGAGGGCCTTCCCATTATGCACTCCCAGAACGTGCCAAACCAATCAGTGGACTAATTTAGTAATCAGACACCCTGCATCCCAGCATCACACTTAATCCTAGCATCACACTTAATCCCAGCATCACACACTCTAGATCCAGCTACCTCTGAAAAGCCCCACCTATGACCACATGAGGTTCTGGGGGGACATCTAGACACAAGCCATAATACCATTTATCTGTTGATGGACAGATAGACTGTTTCCAAGATTTAGCTCCTATAAACATGGGTACACGTGTATCACTGCGGTATGAGGTCTTTAACTTTTGGGAAGATACCTAGAAGGGGAAAAGCTTGGTGAAATAGAATCTCTAGTTTTAGTTTTCTGAGGAATCTCCATGTGAATTTCCATAATGGTATTACTAGTTTATATTCCCACCAACAATGTGGAAGGTTTCCTTTTTCCAGAAAACTAAGCAATCCTCCATCACAACTATTCCTTGTTCCCAATAGTTGGAGGCTCCATTTTCTGGGAAACCTGGAGTTTAGATGTTCTGTGGTGTGTAAAGAATGCTTATTCTCCCTTACAGAGATAGATATCCTGACCTACATAGTCGTGGGTGAGGGAGCAATTTCGTCAAAAATGCAGACACACAAGTCACTTGCAGCCCAGAGCCAGCACCAGGAGGCTACACCACAGAAGAAGGCAGTGAGTCAGTCTGGGCTTGCTCTTAAAGCAGGTTTTTCCCAAGCACTGCACTGTACACAGAATTCTGTGTTCTGACAAACTGCCATGGTGATCACAGTGTTCTTCATTTGATAGCTTATTATCTAGCAGTCAAGGTAATTGGGGAGATTTCTCTTCTTTATTAGATGGTTCCAAGAATGGGAACATCAAGGAAGGGGGAAGGGGACTGTTCTGGAGGAACGCCAGGCTCTGCGCTGCAAGTCTTACAAGGGAGGGAAGGATGGTGACTTGAGGAAGGAGGCAGGCAGAAAGAAGGAGAGGGAGGAGGAAGAAAATGGAGACAGAAGGGAAGAAGTTGAGGGGGCGAAGGACAGTGCACAATGGGCAGAGAGGACACAGCACAGAGAATGTCAAAATTCCCTCAGGGCCGGTGCTAGCAGGAAAAGACAGCTGGTGATGCGGAAAGGGCAGAGGCTCAGCTGGAAGCCATCTGAGTCCCAGGCCGAGCAGCATCTCAGGGAGAAGGTGGCCTGGAGCCCAGGTCAGGGTTTGTGGCCAGTGGGTCCCACAATGAACACCACTCCTCAGTAAGTGAAAGTCTCAGGGCAGTTTCTCTTGCAGGATTCCAGAAGCCCCAGTGCTCAGGAGTCTTGCACAATGGACTTGCACATGGAGACAGCATGTGGATGGTATTCCAGCTCTGTGGCCTCTGCCATCAAGGAAGTCCTGGCCATCTGGAGAGGGGCATTTCCTAAGACTCCTTGATAGGAACTCAAGCCAAATATGCCATTTTCAATGCACACTTTTGGTTTTTCCTGTGGCTAGTGTGACCTGGAGAAATAAGGCTATGACCATCAGGATTAACCTAGTCAGACACTAGTTTAAATCTTGTCTGTATTAAAGTGCTTCTCTGAGCTAGGCATGGTGGGGCATGCATGTAATCCCTGCACTCCGGGAGGATGAGGCAGGAGAACTGCAAACTGAAGACCAGGATGGGCCATTTAGTAACTTAGTGAAAGCCTGAGTCAACGTAAGAGCTGGGAATGTAGTTCAGTGTGAAGGACCTGGGTTTAATCCCTGCCAACCGCCCCAAAAGGAGGTCCATGTGTCTTATCTATATGAGAATTCCTGGCAGTGTCTGCTGCCAGCAAGAGAGGAAAGGGCAATTAAATTGTGCTGAGCTGTTGCCGAAGGTTTGTTTATTAAGCCTTTTTTTTTTCCTTGCCCTCCTTTAGCAGTCTGGGTTCACCTGAGTGCTCTGCACATTGAGACCCACTCCCGGATCTCAGGTGTGGCTCCCCATCGCCTCGAACCAGCAAGCCCCTGAGTGCTCAGTTAGGCCTGACCTGCTGCACACCTTGGTTTGGTTCTGGTCTTTGCTCTCTGCAGATCCATGAAGCAGTTCGATGTTTGTGACCACTTTCTTACTCCGGATACTGTGGCTACTCAGCCTCAACGGAGGGAGGGGCCAGAGAGGGAATGGGTAGGTGAAATGTTGTCTGACAGACACACATGTGCCTCAGCCTCAGAGGTGGCACTGTGGTGACTCTGTATATGGGAGAATGGAAGTGCCATCAACAGAAATTAAGAACTAAGCATGGACTGGTGGTGGGGATCAGAAAAGGCAGGTGCAGACACTGAGCAGGAGGTACTGACAAGATGTGCCCAAGAACACAATGGCCAGGAGGTAGGAAGGGTGGCCTGGACCTACAGGGAGGTTTAGACACTGAAGCATCTATGTCCACCTCTACACCTTGAGATATGGGAGCTATGAGTACCCTGGCCCACAGGGATAGGCACTGCCACATCCTGTGCAGAGGCGGCATGTGCAGACAGGTGACCCTGCCAGCCCCCACCCTCCGAAGAGCACACCTGTGTAGGGAGAGCCCAGCACACCCTCCGAATCACAGGAACTCACACTCCCGGTTGCTGTACACCACGAGGCTCTGCCGCTAGTCGTGCAGCAAGTTAATTAAGACGCACTGGACCCTGCATTTCTCTCATGGGTGCTCGGCACCCATACTAAATATTTGATAAGGTTGTTTTGGTTGCAAACATCAGAGACCAACAGAGCCAGCTTGAACAAAAGGGGGATTCGATGAGAAAGTTTCTGAGAAGTACCAAAGGACAGAAGAACCTAGTAACCAAAGGTTACTAGGGAGAAGGAAAGTCAGCCTCTGTGGAGTCAGCAGCACATGGTGAAGTCCTTCCGGAAAAGTCTGGCGCTCACTTCGAGTTCTTAGAGGACACAGTAGGACAGTCCCCTGGGCCAGTGTGCACCTCGGTGTTTCAGCTGAGATGGGGGCAGGACTTAGAGACATGGAAAAGGCAGGTAGAGCCAGGGCCCTGGGACGCAGCCACTCTACACAGCTGGGCCCTGTCTATCTTTCCCACAACGTTTTTCCTTTCCAATTTTTCTGCAGCAACTGTATCAAGGCTTTTGTAACAGGGGAGAAATTATTGTGGGGCGGCTTTCAACACTAACAACTGCCCGTAACATTGTACATAACCGCAATGCAGGAGAATCAGTCTCCAGAATTTTTGTGCATACTCGACCCTGAGCGGAGAGCAAGCTTTTAATCTGTACCTTAGCACACGTTGGTGTGTTGATACGAAAGGGCTTGTACTAAAGGAAAGACCCGCTGAAAGCCAGAGTAACAGGTGTTCCGAGCAAAGAGGAAGGGAGCGGGCCGGGGACTTTAGGGACACAAGCAAGGCCAAGGCCTGGCGGGCGGGGCGCTTCTAGGCACCGGTCCTCTCCCCTCCAGGCCAGTCCCGAGGGGGGCACGTAGTCCGCCATAGCCGAGACTGGGAAGCGGGCCGGGCGCACCGGGAGGAGTCCGCTCCCGGGTGGGGCGGCGCCTTCGCCTCCGGCTGCTGCAGGGTCCCGGACGCCGGCGACATCTTGCTGAGGAGCAGCGACAGTGACCGCGCTTCAGCTGCTGCGTCCCGCAGTCCCAGAGGGACCCGGGATAGCGGAGGTGACGCCGCGCTTGTCCGAAGAGGTGCCTGTCAGCCTCCAGGCACTGCCGGGGTGAGCAGCCTCCGCCTTCCCCCGCGCGCAGCCGCGCGTCCCCACCTTACGGCTCCGCCCCTCACCCCGGACCCCGCCCCGCACACCGGGCCAGAGGCCGCCTACACGGGCCGCTCC